GGGCGGGGCAGGGTTTGGCGGGCTCAGGGAGTGGGCAGGGCTCAGGGAGTCCCCCCCATGGTCCCCTCCCCTCTCCTCCAGCCCCCCAACCCCTTACTTACCAGCAGTGGAGCCTGGGTCTAGCTCCCTGCTTCAGCACCCAGGCAAACATTAACCATAGAAATGCTCTGGCAACCAGAGTGTCTCTGAGGAGGATCCAGCCTCTGGTTGCCTCAGGGCATGGTTTGGGACCGTGCCCTGCCTCACTTTTTTTTGCAGCACGGGGATCAAATTTGCAGCACCGGAAACATTTTGTCATTCCTGCACATGCCTCTTGCAACATCTCAAAGGGGTTTGAGATGCTGCAAGAGGCATGTGCAGGTTTATCTGGATGTGCCCAGGGTGTTCAAAGTTGCATCTTCCAGAAGTGTGTACTCATAACCAGACTATAGGCTATCCTCTAAGATGTGCCCTCTCTCTCCCTTTTATTAAGGAAATAAGTGCCACTGTTCAGGGAGAACTGATGTGCAGAACATAAAGGTAAGTGTAGCGAGGTGGCTAGGGCGCTTGAATTGAAACAGGAAGACCCAGCCCTTTCTTCAAGAATTTTCTGTTGCGTACATTAAACAGCTTTTGGATAAAATGTGTAAGTTGTCCTTGAAGTAGGAAGCAGAATTCAAACATTTTCCTTTCTACATGAGTCTTCACATGTGTAGGCCACAGAGTGTTTAATGTTTAGGACACTAAACTGAAAGATCCAATGCAACATCCTATCCTGTTGTGAACCAGGCAGAAAAGAAATTTGAAAAGGAATTTGAACCTGAGCTTCTAGTATTACATTTGAGTGGACCAACTACCAGCCCAATTACTGGGTGTTCAGAAACAGAATCCCCTCAATTTCTCCTCTTGCAACAGTTTCCTTGTCCATTAATTAACTGTACATTAAGCTGAAGGAAAAAAGAGAAGCTAACTCGTCTCATTCTAGTCATAAGGCATTCATGGTATGTTGGAGATGGAAAGACCTGAGTTCCCAACCTCAGTTCACTAATTGGTGTCCCTTGACTATGAAGAGCTCTTGGCCAAGAAATTTCATTCAGCACCTAGGTACCTTCTTAATGAAAGTTTCACCAAAACCATTTCCCAGAAAACTGTTTTGTGATTAATAAATAACATTTTGTACCAAACAAAATATTGAATCTAATTTTTAACCAGCTACACTTTTAAACAATGTAATTATATGAAATGTTTTAATATATATTTATTTCATTTTTTAAGAAATTAGAAGAATGTCAAATATGAGATTCACATGCACAGCTGACACAGAAGTAAAGAAGATCAAGTTGGTTGTGTGTTGTTTTTTTTTTGGGGGGGGGGGATTAAAATAGAAAAAGAAAATAGATTTTCCCTCTGATATTCTTCTTAGAGACGCATATGCTGGCCAGAGGGGAAAGAAAAAGAGAAAGAGTAAGGAGAGGAGAAATCAAATTGATGGGTTAAATTCTACCCAATAATACCATTCAGTCCCTATTGGGAGTTTATTGAAAGCTTATGCATTACAGAATTTTTTTTTTCCTCCAACATCTAGGGGAAAAGGACTTATAAAGTTCTCACATAAGAACTTGGTATACAGTAACAATCTTAGCTACAGGGCCTAGTATTTATTATTTATTTTCATCATCATCATCACAATCATGAAAAAAAGACAATATGTACTGTACAATATAATTGACTGTCATGGAAAATGAAAG